AGGCCCGAAAATAAGTCCAAAGTTGATGGAATGTAACCCAAGCCATTAAACCAACATCAAGTTGCGAATCTACAAGTACTTGAAAACATATGAAATTCGTATTTCCCGATTCTGTGTTCGTGTTCTTATCTTATTTATCGACTACCTGTCCGCCTGCCTGCGGATTGCACAAAGTTTGTCGAGATGTACGCCATGCTACGATAAACTTCCCTCAGCTATAATCTCACGTACGATTGGATTGGATACTTTTGATGAGAGAAATCGCCCTGAGCCCAACGGCCACGTCGACCAACAACTAACCTGCTTGGGGGCTCTGGAAATATTAATTTCGTTGGATTGGAAAGGTGTGCTGGGAGCAGAGGGGAATCTTACTCCGAGCGGATCCAGCCTTCTTTAGATTTAATTGAACTTTCACTCGAATTGAGAATTTCTAACGTCTGAAGTTCAAGAAGCACGCGTACCAAAAATTGCTATTTGATTTACATTTGAGTGCTGACGATGAAAATGTCATTCATCCGCTACACAAATAAATGCTCATGAAAACATCCATACGAACCTAACACTTTGACAAATTACGTATGCCTCACTTGCTACACAAGCAGACTCAAGGGGTACAGGATGCAATTAGATGCGGCATTTGTTGTGAGGTTTGCTTTGATTCGACGACTTTGACTTTTCCTCCTTTCGCGAAAGCATCAACACATTGGTGACTGGCAGACAGGAGAATCTCTCAGATATTCCAACTCTTAAATGTTGAACCTTCGAGACTTTGTCGTAGAAATGCTTTGAATTATTCGAAACCTGAATCCAGTTCGGCTTTTGGACGTTTCCTTCTTCCACCAAATGTACATATACTCTAAAACTCGACTTGGAACTGTGTGCAGCCCACTTTCTCTCCCAAAAAGCAAGCTCTTCCAAGTGTTTGAAGTTCTCTCGTTTCACTTTTCTCAAAAGGCATTACACTGTTGCTCCTTTGCTCGCTCACTCACTAACTCACTCGCATCACATCTTTCCTCCCCAAATCGCCCTACATAGGCCGGAAGGAGGTGGGTTGGAATTTTAGATGGTGAGGAGGAGGAGGTGGGATTGGGGAGACGTAGTTGGCTTTCAATTCAAAAAGGAAGGATAATGGGAAATACAACGCCACTGCTGAGCATTCCTGGACCGGTTGAGCCTTCAGGTGAGGTTCCAAATTATCGAACGACTGTAGTCAAATGCATTAAGGATATTACTCCCATCAGCTACAAAAGAAATACGTGCAGGGAGCTTGATTCTGACTCTGAGAATCTATCTGCCAGTCAGAATATAAGGCACGGCTGCTGCTTTGTGGGATTGGATTAGATTTAAAGTTTTCACTCTAAAGCGGAAAGTGGGTGAGAGAAAGACAGCAGCAGTCAGACAAACGTCTAAATATTCAGGACCTGTTCATCTACATGTTCTTTAGGTCGGTCTCCTTGCCTCTAAATAAATTTCTGCACGGGCGAGAGTTAAGATCTCTCTCTCGCTGAATGCCTATTATGACGAGGCAGTTAGTTGGTCTTATAACTGCTGCAATATTATATACCACCAAGCATAACAACAATCACGGTAAATGCCTACTTTCACTTTCTTCTCTCTATGCACTATACATGTATTATCTACTCTGTTATACCTACGCAGCTAGCAAAAGTTTTGCCTGGATGGAGAACCTTTTGCATTTTTTACACGGTATCTAAAGTTAACAGAGCCTGTCTTTTCTGCGAACAGTTGTTGGGCGAAAAGTTCCAACTTCATCGTTGCCCCTGATGATGCGGAAGAGGAGATCGTAGAGTATATTCGGCCACGCATGAAGCTGTTGAGGTGACTTTTAGTTTTAAATTCACTTTGTTGTAAGTATTTTACATGGTCCATGTTTCCGTATTCTTTACTTGATGGACATACACGCAAGGGAATAAATTTCTCCTTCTTCTCTCCGAGGACCTACTTCACTTTCTCTTATTGAACAATGGAACGAAAATGGACAACCCCAAAATTCTTGTCTCATGTGACTCTGTGATTTCCACTTTCTTAATTCCACAATTATCTGTATCTGCAACATTCGGCAAAATAAATGACGAGAGTTCGCCAGGCAGGGAAAAAATGTCTTGTTCTGTGATGAGCAAGTTAAAATCTTCAGTAATCTTTTATAATTTTCGAAATCGCATGCGTAAAAATTAGCTACCTTTTTTTACTGCTTTATTACACTCAAAATTTTACACTTACAATGTCGACTACGTATTAGTACATGCTGTATTAAATAGTAAGTCATTGAGTAAAATATGCATGTGTCTCATTCGATAACCTCTCAAATAACAGGAACAAAATTTGCATCCAGTTCTATCTGGATTGTGTACTTGTATCAAATACTTAGACCCCATTAAGCCATTAAGAGTTCTGGTGAAAGAATATGCCTTGGAATTAATTTACCCGTGGCTCACATTTATTCCTCTGACTTCACACTTATATAAAGTAATGCTAAGGATTAGTAATGTAAAATATTTGTATTGGCCTTGAATTTAAAGTATTCCACGCTTTTAGTCCATAAGATGCGCACTGTGAATGAACCGCAAGAGCAAATGTGGCCATGCTAAATGATTGAATGATAACTATGCGAATTCAAACTGCCCTGAAATAAAATTCGCAACACAAGCGTGTTCCTGGATTGCATGTCCAAACCCATTTTCCCCTTATTATTTTAGGCTTCCCCCACACATATGCGTGGTAACTTTTGCAAAACAACCCTGGCCTGTTTTGTTCTCCTTTTCCATGTATGTTGTCCTTTTAAAATGCATGGTGTGTAGTTTTTTGCAGCCTCAAACAAAACAACGCCAACAACTTTCCCGTCTTTCGACTCGTAGTCGCTATGTTTGCCAACCCATTGACATTCGCTAGTGGTGAGTTGGAGTGGACTCTTATATTTTGCAAAGGTTGGCAAAGTGTTCATGCAAAAAAATCGATGGCATTGATTGATACTCAATAATCGTCTGCATTTTGGATAGACCAACACTCGTCTCATTCAAATGCTGCAACCCGTGCATGTACAACCCACTTAATGACACTGACAAAGGATCCCAACCCATATAACCTGGCGTCTTGGGTATGTCAACAACTTGGGTGTCCGTCTAGGCTGAATCTTCTTCTTTCTTTTTAATATAAATTCCAATGCTTTCATAAACATTGTCATCGTGAATTATGTCTCCAAGTTTTCAGCATAATTTTGCAAGCCATGGCCTAATTTTAGTATAATTTATGTGCAATGATTCTTCCATTTTTTTAAGTTTCGTTATGTTTGGAAATCTCATTGTATGATTTATTTTGAATGTAATAATAAAGGGTTGCAATTCCATGAAATTTATTTAAAAACAAAAAAAGTTTAATGACAATGCATGCTATTTATGCATATCAAGGTTATTAAATCAAGCCCCCTTTAATCTCCATCTTGCCTCCTCCCACAATGGAAACAATGCATATGAAATACACAACAGGAAGGGAGTCGTGGGTGTAAAGAGGGATCGTTGAAATGAAAAGGAAACAAAAAAGTGGTATTTTTTATTGCAGGAGTTGGAACGGAGAGGAAATTTCTGCAGAGAGATGTTGCTTTAGGCCGGAGACGAGAGACAATGGGCGAGGAGTCCAAGTCCGTCTATAACACAATACGACAGAAAGAATAAAACTGGGCGACTTTCGCAAATAAATGCAATGGAGAAAGCAATGAGACGACGACTGGAGAGAGTCCTGGGTAAGTAAGGGAAAAGAGCGCAGGTCAACCTTTTAAGGTCCTCCGACCAATACAACCAGCTGGGTTTGTAGTCAATTTCATATATATTTCGCACTGCAAAGATCCCTTCCTTCCTTCCTTGGTCGTCTTCCATAACACAACTTACTCGCAGACTTGTACAAGACTGGGACTGACTGAGGAGTAGGCACTCACAGTTTCAACCATTGAGCAGTACAAATGTGTGTGTGTGGTAGACATTGGCTGCTGAACTATGTACGTTACGTAGCCGTAGTGAAAGCAGGAGCTGGATGAGATCTTGAAACAGCAGAGGAAGCACGGTGCCGGGAAAGCATGGGCTCCAGAATGATGTTCCACGGCTACTGCAGAAGTCGTAGTAGTCGTCGTGGCAGAGGGAGGGATGGCTGGAGAAAGGTATTTCTATGTATACTACGTTGATACGTACTCTTCCGTGGTCTCCTCGGTGCACATTATGTATGATGGCGTGCAATGTGGAGCAGGGCAAAGAAGGGGAATTCGCTCTCAGCATTCTAAAGCGAGACCGGATAGGATCCGTCCAACTACTATTTCGCTTCTCATGTCATAACTGCTTTCCCTGGCTCTGGTGGTCGTGGTGGTGGTGGTGCTGCTAGTGGTGATGCACGGAAAAGGAAACTTTCCCAAGTTTCACAACCCTTTCTCAATCTCATCCTTGCTCACTCAGTCTCGTTCCAACCGTGGGACACTGGGGTTACCCAAATCGCCAAATTCTCACTCGATCGTGGAGAACAAACGCCGCCGTTTAAAAATACGTTACAGAGCTACATTCACATTAACAAACTCTACTCAGTCGCTCCACTTGAGCCGAAAGACAATCCTTGTGTACACCAATCTGTACCAAAGGACTGGTTAGGTTTGGAAAAAAAGGAGTGAAAGCTGTTGCCCCATTTTGTCACTCGTGTGACCAGTCTGCCGCACCAATCGTGTAGCCGACGCAATATCTCTATGTGCGGTGTTTGTCGTTTGTCAAATTAAAAGACGTGCTGATAATCAAAGCAATCCGTCTCCCTCTTTCAAAGCAAGTTTGTCTCGTTTTACACTTTTCTGCACAAAGCACAAAAAAGTTTACAGTAGAAACACACTAACGACGGCAACTAACTACTTACTCGTTCGAGGAGGGAAATTTTTCTACCAGTAATCAATTTAATACTAATATGCAAGTGATTTTCTCACATTATTGTTTCTGAAATATTTCGATTGGCTTTATTGTTAATATTCAAATTAAGGACAAATATCGGAAATTCACCAGAATATAGAAAATTTATATAAGCGACATGGCTAAGCTACACGACAAAGAAGCCACTGCACCAAAAATGTCCTTATCCTGGATCAATTAAAACACAGCCAAAACTTAAAACAATATTTGTTTTTGGCTTGGGCCAATTTGATTGAAACTCGAGAATCCGACCGAGGAGCAGAAATATTCTTTTTTCTCTCGAGCTCCTTCTTCTTCTTCTCATTTCACTGGCATATCAAATAAGTGTCGTAACGTTGAGTGTGCTGTCGTGCTGGCAATAGGAAAGCATCGAAGGCTTTTGTTAGAATTGATATATTATCTACTCGTTGTGATATATTTACGTCCTTGGCATTAGCCACCAGCATTTTCACAACCATGCAACGGGCTCCTCGATTTTTTGCAAGAAAAGTGTAGTAAGTAGTAGATTCGTTTTCCAATTGTCAAGAATGATGACGATCTCATGCGAATGACGTGGGAGTATGCAGCATATTCAGCACTGTGACAATGCTGTCTAGCCGAATACATAATCTTGCAGCATTCAATCGATAATACTTTGGTTTGGATATCATTCCTGATATTTTGCATCGATTCATTATTCCAGCCATCATTACAGCATAGGGTATTTGGCAGTATAGGTTATTTGGCAGTATAAATAATTGAAGACACCATTTTCCATAACACTTCCATTCTCCGGGATCTTGGTGTAAATGACTTGAACGTGGAAGCGTGGTTTACTTGATTTCCCCCTAAAAGTGAAACCAGTTGTTTTAATGTTTTAAATAAATTGCCAAAAATGTAATGTGATTTTAGCTAGAAAATGACCGTTCAAGTACTTTTTTGGTCCTATTTAGGCAGTGTCAAACGGAATAAACAGCATGTCAGCCAGCCTGAAATAAACATTCCAAACGGAATTTAGGATTTATGACAGAACTCAGTGAACACGACATTTCTTTGACTTTCAACTTTGCTGAATATTTGAATGGGAAAGTCAATCATTTATTATTGTCAAAATCAATTTCCATTCCCACCATGTCAATGTCACTCTTCTTATTTGCTGTGTGATAAAAGCAGAAGAAGGAAAAATAAACTGCGCAACCAGCAAACAATTCTACTTTGATCTAATTTTCAAGCATTTTTTTTTCGTTTTTTTTTTGGTTTCAACAAGATTTACAAATTCCATGAGAGAATATTTTTTTTTATTGCAGGAAACACATTTGTACTCGAGTGTCACACCAAGCTCTTAACCCACAACCGCTGTTGTGAGACAGAATTGTAGAGAAAGCTGGGAAATAAGTGTGTGCGTACACAAGTACATGTATATCTACATGCATAAGTGAGTGAAATTATATTCCGGGTTGATTTCCGTACACCACGAGAATTTTCCTTTCATCACAAAGCGTTCAAAGAAGTGAACTAAATTTCCGCTATTATTATGATCTTAAAGAAGAATACACATCATCATTATAATGACACTTACGGGCAAGACCACTCTAACTGCCAACAGCATCTACTTCAAAGTGGTGTCTCAAATGTTGGAAGAAATAATGCAAGCAACTCTTGTGACAAAGGAAAACATGAACCCAGCCAAATAAAATGGAATACCACGATCACGGATGACACAATTTATTCTCATGATGACCGACATCAAGAAGTCGTACCAAGAAGAAATTGAATCACTCTGCTGCTGCTGCTCTTTGTTTCTTGTCTCAATTTTCCTCCAATTTATTGCAACAAAGAAAACGCCACAGTCACAGTGTCACCACTCCACATACCACGACGACAACTACTTCTGCTCCTCCTCCTCGTTGGTTCATCAGCTTCCGTTCTTGGCAAGTGTGATGCCACAAGCGGGCCCACCAACTGTCACAACAACTAACACCTCACCTTCACTGAACCTCACTTGATATCATTGCAATCCTAATCTCCGCTGACAATCTTATCATGCACAAGTCCCCCTCTGAACAATTTTCTGGACAATGTATGTTTACTTGTAGGATTGTATTCTTTGGGATTTAATACAAATTGAGATTCAAAAAGTCTTCGCTCCATCCAGTTTGAGATAAGAATGTTTGTTCGAGGTGCTCGTCGTCCAGCAGAAAAATGCAACCATCTTGAGCTCATCAAGTTCCACTAATTAATTAGATTTCGCGAGAACCCACCACCAAAATTATTACGACATTCCAGTGTTGTGCTGAGATGAGAGGAGCGCAGGGGAGATCAATTTCTCTCAAACCATAATTAAGTGGTGCTCAGTAGAATATCAATCACATAGGCGAAGAAAGCTCGCCAGCGACAGCATCAACAAATTCATACACTTGAATGCTTGTTGTCGTCGTCTTACGGGCTAACCGATCAACAAACCTCGTCTTCTACTTGTTCCTCCAGACATTCCGTGTTTAAGCAGTTTGTCACTTTAGCAAATGACACCACGGCCACGTCTCAACAACAGCAGTGTGGCAGTGTGCTGTCCCAAATACGATTAATAATTCAACACCCTAATAATCTGCGTATTGATTTTCGCTTGTGGTTTACCAAAGAAAAGTGAGGAAATGCATGGATGGTTTGTGGTCGGGTTCTCTAAATAAGAAGTAAACTGTCAAATGTAAACCCCTGGAAACAGCAACCCACCGCACTCACCAGCAACCACAGTTTCTGAATGGCGTGACAACATAGAGTTGTATTACACACTTTCCTCTCTCATCCTCCTACTAGAGAGAAGCAGGCTCTTGATATTAATACAGCAGTAGTGGATGGATAACTTTGCCCATTTACCGAAATGATGAAAAAGTGTCTCGCCAGAATGGACAGTGGGGTATTTCATAAAAGACTTCGTGGCAGGACTCGAATGCTTTTTAGCGATTGTCATTTCCACTCATAATAATGATACCAATGCCAGCGCATCCAACTCTCAATCTCCTCCTTGATACTGCTCAGCAGTCCTCTCGCTTCTGCAAAATTATTGACAAACTTTCATCAAGACATTATGCAGCAGTGAAAATGTGCTAAGTAAAAATACGGACTTTGAACAAACTCAAAAACTTTGAATTTTGATTGTTGGATAAATTCTACCCCCTTCTCATACGTACTCAGATATCATAGTCGACATTTTGACAGTGCAGAATAATTATAGATCTGTAGATTAGTGCAGTTGTAGTTGTTTCTTGTACGGAGAAAGTGATTTCTGCTCTCTCATTACTGCAGGGTTTGTTTCAACTGCGTAAAATCCGTTGAAGGTGAATGATTAGCTATTTAACTGACAATGATGATAATGCAAATAATCACTGGGAGGATAAAGTGAGGGGGTTTTATTTTTATTAGCACAGTGTAATTTCTCCGATCCCTGCGCAACACATCAAAAAGGCAATCACAAGCCTTGCAACACAAGGTTGGAAGAAATTAGCAACTGCCTCTTTACTGTCAGCAAGTAATAAATTGCAGCAACCATGCCGGGTGGAAGACGGGGCTTAGTTGCTCCACAAAACACGTTTTTGGAAAACGTTATCCGGCGTTACAGTTCTCAACGTAAGTATTTTTTTTCTCATTTCATAGTCGGAAATTTTGAAGCCTGTCACCGACACATCATCCACCACGAAAGAAAAAAAACCCTGGGCAAGAGAATTTCTTTCCCAGATAACACCTTTGTTTATGTGGAATCCGCATCATACTTGGACCATTTGTTATTATTAATTCAGTCGACGGCGGTCACACCACAGACAGATAGTTGCTCGTTTGCATGTCAAGTGTCAAGATCGTGTCAAGCGTGAATGGGCGGAAATCTCAACAGAGTTTCCCCAAAAAGAAAGATTTATTTATTGATTTATGTTTTAAGAGACTTTGTGTACCCATCTTGGGTGTTATTTCTATGCTAAAAATGCAAACCATGTAATATATCACTCAACCACGAAAATAATTCAAACTAGAAACCCGGTCTTGTTGAAGTTCCTTTGGTCTTACAACCTACAAAATCTTAGGAGAAGCCACAAGAAAGAAAGTGCAAAGTAAGAAGAATATAAAATCCATCACTGCACAATATAATAAAATTCCTGGAACCTTTCTCTTCCCGTTGAAAGAACAAGCGTGTGGGTAATAGCGTATACACGGATATAGTCAGCTCCTCGTCGCGTCCGTGGGTGATTGTACCCGACTGCATTTATCGAGGAGAGATAGATATAGTATACGGCTGACTGGGGATACAAGGGAGGCCACGGTGTGTTGAGATAATATTAAAATTCTGGATGAGGCGAGTCGTTTTTACTTTTTCTTTGATACTTTCACTTCACAAAGACCTTTGGCTGACATGGCTGGCAGGCTGCATTTGCAGTCCCCAGAAAACTGGCTTCGCAGCATCAACAACATCTAAAGAAAGAAAGAATATGTTAAGTCTGATTTCGCCACCACCACGAGTTTTGCCCGAATTCTACTACGTGAGATACCGTAATATGTAATAATGCAGAAGGGAAACTGATGGGTGGGAGAGTTTGCCAGAGTGAGTGCATGCATTATGTATATTAATATTATCGTACTTAACCACGAAGACCACCTCAGTCACATAAGAAAACAAAAACAAAAGCAACACATGCAGACGGCTGTGTTCCAGCCAATTTCACCACCACACTAGCCTCGGATTTTGCAATACCTGTGAACCCTTGTTTTTGCCCGAAGGGAGGACGAGAGGAGAAAATGATGCGGTCTCCTCTCTTAAATAACAATCCCTCGCCATGCATCCGCGAGAGAGAGAGAGGGAGAAGATAAGTACTAATCCATATTCAGCGTCAGATCTGGGATAAAATTCTAGCCAAAGCCAACGTAGAATTCTCCGGAAGAATTTAAGCATTTCCAAGTTCCTTCCTCCTGTTTATAAATAGTTGATCATTCCGCTGCTTGTTGTTGGCTTTTAGCTTCGGAGACTTGGTTGTGAAAGGAATAATCTGAGGAACAAAACAGATTCCTCCTCCTCCTCCTCCTGAGGTAAAAGGAGCGCGTTTAATCAAAATAGAGAAGAGAAAGTTCCGAGTGGGAGCGAGCAGCATGGTCCCATTGAGATTATCGGAAAGTAATTTTACTTCTTGGTTTCCTGCTACATGCCAACAAAATTACATTTCCAAGGTGGTTACACATACCTACGGAAAATTTGGGTGGGACGAGGTTCTTTTTGGAAAAGATCCGAGTCTGGCCGACCCCACTCACTTTCTCATCTTGGCGTTTGACTCAGTACAGCATTTATTATGTATGAGTGCATGAGATTGTACTTTCAGCTCACTCAGCCGTGTTTTCAACCTAGTCGATCCTCCTCTGTTGGCTCACCCGCGTAATTTTGTATTGGAATTCAGATATGATGATAAATTGGCATTGTCAGCAGACCTGGTGGACTTACACCAGCAGAGTTCGCTGTGTGAGAAGTAGAAATGGATTACTCGGCTACTTGTTGACGCATCCATCCTGTTTTCTTACTCAAAATTCAATATTGAATCTACTTGTCTGTCCATGAGATAGACGTGGACGTATTGTTCGACGAACAATACAATAGCACAACTTATTGCATTCCTTTGCATTTTTATCAGAGCAGTTGTACACCCCAGGATCAATGTCTAACTAAGATCTATGAGAACAGGCAGACATTGATCAAATTGAATGAACAAGTACCAACAAATCCAATGCGCGACAGATCTTATTTTGGGAAACGCAGTCAACAAGAGAAGGTATGCTATTGTCACTCCCAACTATTTTGGCCCTTGTGGATCTTATATATTTACTGATCGCAACAGCCAAGTAAAATGTGCAGCTAAACTTGCTAAAGTATGATCTTCGTGTCATTAGTATGACAATTAACGCTGTACATACTTGTGCTTCTCATGAACTTGGATTATCATATTAAATTTTACTGCTCTGCGATAACAGTTATTGATTGGTCAATCTGTTGATCTTGTGTATCTCGAGTGAGATCTAAATGACGAGAATTCATTCGGATGATGAGGAGGAGGTAGACTAGATACATAACTTCAGAAACGGGCACAATGCGCACAAGTTAACATACGAAAATTAAATTATATTGCACGTAATTTAATTTAGTGAGTGGAATAATGAGCCATGGCTCATGAGGAGAATCCCGATTTCATAGGAAGTAGGTAATTACGAGAAAGCACACGACAATGAGGAGAATGAGTGAATTAGGGGAGCACAAACATGTCGAGAAAGTCAACTTTGCGGGGAAAGTCGGGAGAGGAAGGCTCAAGTGGTAATGCTCCGAGCTTATCAAAAGTATAAAGGATGAATGGTCGAGTTCTTGTTGCCGTTGCTGCTGTTGTTGTTCTCATGACCTGAAACGTCTCCAAAATTTGAGAAAAAAGCAAAAATGGGACGTCACATTCAAAGAGAAGAGTGGCGTGTCCATTTAATTTTATGTTGTGCAATTTCTTTTGTTGATATGCTGCAGAGGAGAAAGCGAAGGAACAGACTAGAGCCATGCATACGCTCACTTCGCAACATTCACTACGTAATCTTAAGCATAGTCCCGTGGAAAATTATGGGATGGCTTTTACGTAAAGTATACATTTCTACCTTCTCGTCTCCGTATTACCACCATGTTGTTGCACAATGGAGGCAATAATAATCCCGTATTTGATCTTGCTTTTTATGCATGCCCTGTGCTGCACAAATATTTGGTTCCTGCAAGCAAAGTGCCTCGCATGAAAAATAGCACGCTGTTAAATGGGGTGAGCCGAGTTGTCAGCTTATTTTTATTAGGCGGATTAATTTTTTAATAATCCAGGATTTTATAATAATAAGCTTTTCTTATTTTATACATATGGTTGATTATTAGTGCAGAGTTTGCCTGGTTCCATACATGCTCCGTGATTTCACGGTGCTTATCCTGTTTCGTAACGTTAATAATACACAAGTGTGTGCACATTATGCATATGGATGAAGCTTTTCTCTAAAAAAATACGAAGGCTGCTGTCACTTTGAAATATTGCAATTACGTGAATGATTCTTGTTAAATTTTCTCGTTCCATTTCTCAGCAAAGACTGGAACTTAACCGATCGAAATGGAGAGCAATTCATTGAGCAGCCCGGTTGGAGGGAACAACTTTCATTGCGGATAGTTTCGCTAAACCTCGTATGCAGGCATGTGGTGTATTACATTTATTTAGATATTTATGAAGAGAATCAAGATGAGCAAGATTTGGTCTGCTTTGCTCAGTTAGCGTCGCCCTTCCTCGTTCCATCCCATCCTTGGCTTAGCTTTCTCCATTTATTTTTTATCTGTTGGCAAGACGCCGCGTCTGCAGCCAGTTGTGCTTTCCTGCTACCAAGATAAACACCGCTGCTGGGTTCTGATTGAACCTTAAAATTTCTGGCAAATAACTCTGCCCTATTTATCATTCCGTATACACTGTGACATTACAAATATTCGCTCTGATATGATTTCCACGCTCCTCACCCCAACCAAAAATGCCGACTGAAAGAAGAAAATTAAGTTTGCTGCTGAGCAAGGAAATGACAATTACAATTTCCTGACGGATATATATCTAAAATACGTATGAGGATTACGATCTTTACTAATTTAACTTATTAGAAAACGCTGATTGGCGGAAAATAAAAAGTTGCAATTGATAACGGGCTCCTTCCTAAAAGCCCCAAATTTATGCATTTGTCTCCACTTTGGCGTGAGAGGGATAGGGAAAGCAGTTGTCGTATAAGATATGAGTGTCGAGAGTAAGTTTTTAACTAAGGGATTCTGACCATCATGGTGCCAAATTCACCACTCGACTCATTCAATTCAATTGGGTAACTAACTAGTGGAGCAGAGGAGGAAGTCGTGGAATAAGAAGTGCCTCTGGAGAATGCAAAATGTGAAAGGTATCAAAAGAAGTTTTCAACTTCTTTTATCCTGGATTCTTCCCTGGCTGCATTTACTCACCGAGTTCACAGCCAGCCAAGAATCCCTTCCTTTTACAACTAACACTCCAATCCACCAACAACATTACTCTCTCGTCGTCGTCCTCCCAGTTTGTTTCCGGTGTTCTCTCTCTCTTCTGTTGCGGCGGTGGTGGTGTTCGCCGCTCCTTTGAAAGCGAAAGAGTCCATCCTCGGAATGACAAACAAAATTGTAACAGAAGCACTCAGCTTCATAGATATCTCGCTCACTTTTCCTTCTTGCCTTATCATATGTCCGCGTGTACATACGTACACACAGCCTCGTGTGGTAGGATACAATACCGATCTCTTTTCCTGAATAACTGTGAACGACATGAAGCAGTGAAAATTTAGGTAATATACTCCTTCGTTTGACTTTGCACAAAGAAAGAGCTCTTTATGTTGAAAGAAAGAGGCTATTCAATTTACCAACTCATTTCTTCACAGACTTCTTTCACAGTCTTGTTAGTAACTGGCAAATTCCTTCCACTATGAAATGCATCTCTGTGTGTGTGTGGGTGACAAATATGGTCTCCAACCTTTCTTTAGACTTGCCCGATCGTGGCTTATGACGATGGTGGTGAGGAAAAGGGGAGGCGATGAAA